CCGTTGGAGACGGAACGACGCGAACGTTGGTGCACACAACGTTCGCCTACACCCCGCGAGACGCGTCCGGTCGGCCACAAAACGAAACAGTAAGCCTCTTGACTTTTAACAGGTCCAAAATAAGGCTTTTCTGGTAAGCATAATTTTATTAAAAAATATTCAACAAAGTTTAAAATAATTTTCGTAAAATGAGGCTTTACCGCGTTTAATTCACGCGCAGGGGGGGAAATCGCCGGTTTACAACTGCGTTTCCCTCCTGGTGGCCTGTTGTTGTGTGCGCGAGGCCCACTTCCTCTTGGCCCATTTACCCCCCCAAGGATGCTTGATCTCATTTATACACTTAGACTTCTTCTCATCTTTCCCATGTGGGACTTTATTTGACACACATATTGCATTATTTCACAATAATTTAGTTGAGGCTTCGTTGATTTTTTTTCCCTAAGCATAGGTATACTCTTATTAAAAGTAATCCTATTCAATGTATTATCGGATTTAATGTAGGTACATCTCTCAGTGAAAATTTGAACTTTGATTCATCATGTTATGAGAGACTAGCTAGTTTCTTTCACTAAATCTAAGTGATGTTTGTTTAGGCTCTCTTTGATGACGACACAATTTTAGAAGTCGGATTTCTTTAGGCTTGGTCATATAGGTGGGAACCGAGACCAGCCCACTTTGGGCCTGGCAAAAAATGGGACAAGTTGAGTTGATGGAGATTTTATCAACTCTGGTGGGTCATGTGAGTTAGCCCACTTTCTATTATCAATACTTAGTACCCGATAATATCCCGAACATGATTGTCTTTAATAACCAACAAGTGTTAGTCTAAGTGGAAGAGATTTGGGCACCTTAAACATCATGTCTTGGGTTCGATTCTTGGAGCGGTGCGCATGGAAAAAACACTGTTGGGAGGGGTCCTCACTATGGTGTTTGACACTATCCCGAGAGATTAGTATCTTATCGTTCAGGTGGAAAGATATTCTGGGCAACAAAAAAAAAATATTGTCTTCAATAGGAGGATACATATGCTTATAAAATTCACCAAAAAATTCAATTCCTCAAAACATGAAAGGATTAGATTTGGAAAAAAAAAAATGAACAAGTCCAGTTTCATTTTCAATATTTTTTTTTCTGATTTTACTAAACATATTGAAAATTAGGAGTGCCCGAAAGATGAGCGGGCTGCAAAACCTTGCCCTGCCCATAGAAGCCCTAACCATTTCGGGCTGGGTAATAACGGGTTGGGCAGGGTAGGCTTCCAAGCCCAAATAGTGATACCTTGGTGAAAAAATTTTTAGTTGAAGTAAGGGTATCTTATAACAACTTTAAAGAAATAATACTTGAATAAACAATAAATTCAACAAATCAATAACTTTGATTTGTCTTAAATTGATATATCTTTTAATACAACACTAAAGTGAGCTTGTTTTTGCATCTTTGCAAGACAACCAACAATGAAAACAAACTAAAAGATACTAAACCAGATTAGAAAAACATTAAAAAGATACTAAGAAGGAAGAATTACACATACCACTAAATGTATCTAGAACAAATAAAAGAGGAGAGAATAATATATATTATTATATATATATATATATATCATTATAAGTATTTCTGGAAAAAAAAGAATTATAAATATATATATCACGGGCAGGGTCAAACTGGCAGGGTAGCACACCGTGCCCGCAGCCCAGCCCTGCCCATAATATGCCCATTTTCTTTGGGCTGTTTTTTTTCGGGCTGGGTAGGGCTATTTTTTTCACGGGCTCGGGCAGGCATACTGGGCTAGCGGGCTTGATGAACACCCCTATTGAAAATACATCTTTACACGTCAATCTTTTTGGGGTAGAAATACATGATAGAACTATAATATGACGTACTCCTCAGGTCCTTTTATTATAAACCTTGTATGTGCTTATGTGCTTGGGAAGTAGATAATGATTAAGAAATGTTATAATGTAATTGTAATTTATATATTAATGTGAGGAGGTGATATAATGGTAATATAACATAACACCACGTGGTTTACTTTTATAGCGTATACTCTAGTTAGCCCTTTTAGAGAAGGTAGCACACCTCCATTTGCAATATTCCAGAAGTATCTCGGGGCAGCATACCCTGAAGGTAGTGTACACAACAAGGTACTAGAAATAAACTCATTGGGGCTGCACATCCCTTCTTCGGATGAACCCATGGCCTGTATGTACTTTACTGACTTTCGTCAGTCTGCATCACATGTGTGGGAAGCTTGTGAGAGTCACTAGTCACACAATTATGACTTAGCCAATGAGTTCAAGTCGGTAGTTATACGGAGGATATAAGGCAAGAATTGAATGATTAATAATAGATAATAAATTATGGTTAAAGCATGCATATATGTTAATGTTTCTTTTAGCTTATATGTTTGTGATATATGTTACCTATTACATGATAGTAATGTGTTTAATGATTATTTTAACTATTAGTCTCATTTGGCGCCTCTTAGGTGGATAGGAGTTTTTATCATTGAGACAGTACTCTCATTTTGTTATATTTACCATTTTTAAGTAAGAGCAGTCAAAGAGCCACAATGGGGAAGAAACTGGAGGCGTGAGGTAACTTTCATTGGTGATCATGCTTCGAACCTTATTATGTTTAATTATGAGTTATTTGTCACCTAGGACATCTTTATACATTTTGTATATTCTCAATATTGAAACTATTTATATGTTCTAAATTATAAATTTCTTGTCGAGAGCCTTTGCGAGCCGAGGATCCGCAATTGATATTACTGAGGATTGCTTTGAAATAAGTTAAATTTAGTCTTGTTATATTATGTCACAACTATGTTAATCAGGTACATAAGAAGCTTTTTATAACCATGTTAGGGGATATAATCCTTTCCTAACATGGAGTGGGATTCTTTTATAACCATGATATGTTACGATGTTGATTGGTTGCCTTATTCTTTTATACTATGGTTATGAGATAGAGCAAGAAAATTTGGAACAATTTTTGCAACCCATTTCCTTTAATTAACATGATAATGGTGTTAACATTCCTTTAAGTTTGATGAGTTTCTAGTTAGAGGATTACATTTTCTCAATGTTTAGGACGGTTACTTTTTCTAGTAAATAGGTCTATTTCCTTTTGTATATCTATTCATAAAAAAAAGTTTTTTTCTATACATAGAGTCAAAAGAGCTAGAAATGCATGAAAATAATCTTTTAACCTCTTCGGCCAAAAAAAAAATTTAACATATGTAATAATGCAATATTATTAATTAGTTAAAAAATTAACTTTCTCATGATTCTAGAATTTGTATACATTTTTATCCATTAAATATCCAATCAAGTATTTTTTAATATTTGCAAATTTTTCCTAGTAATACATTAATAAATTTTTTAAATAATTTTAATTTTAATTTTTCTCTTAAAGTTATCAAATTATATACATATAATATAATAATATAGGCGCATACATTATAAAATTTATATCTTTCTTAATCATTTTTCATACGTTAAACTGATTTTTTTTATAAAAGAAATATTGAAACATAAATCATATTATATTAACTGACTTTTATTTTAATTTCAATTTGCAAAAATCAGTTCAGATAAAAAGTCTCTTTTATTAAAATTAATCTTCTTCCACTTATGCAATGATTGGTTGGGGTTTTTTTAGGAGTAGAAAAAGGGAAGGAGTGAAAAAGGAGAGATAAGGTTGTTTGGTTCAATAAAATTATTATTTTTTGGTGGGGGGAGGGAAAATTGTTGATATGGTGGGATTGGACTAATTTAATTATTGATATGCTAATAGGATAAGGTGTTTAAATATCCTAAAAATATCAATGAAGGAGCACCCAATACTAAAAGAAGTTTTTTGGCTGTTATATGTTCTGGAAGCTTTTTTGGCTCTTATATGCTCTAAAAGTTAATTTTTATAGCAAAATTATCCTAATTGTTATCTGTCTTTAAGTTTGACAGTTAAATTATGTGGTTTGACCAATATCTTTAACAGTTAAACTTAACAGAAGATAATAATTCAGGTTAAAAATGCTACTAAATAAAACTTTTAGGCTATATAAGAGCGAAAAAAAGTATTTTCAGATGTTGAGTGCTCCTTCATAAATAATTTTAGGATATTTAAGTACCTTGTCTCATATGCTAATTAAAGTTGTCAAAACAGAACTACTATCCGTCCACTAGTGCTTTGCTTATCTTCATGGATACTGTACAAGCCTACAGGCTTTTATAGCTGATTCACTTTAATGGTTTTTTTTTTAATGGAAACTTAAATGTACTTTTTCTTTACATGAAGAGCTCGTTTGGTTCAATTCCTTGATCCTTAGATATATTAATGCAATGCAATCTTTACTCCCATTAATGTGTTTGGTAGCTTATTAAGAAGATAAGGCAAAAAATTATTTTTGAAATTTAACCAGATAAAATAATAATGAAAGACCCATATTGCCCTTAGTAAAAAGGTAAAGAAAAGCTTAATATATCACCCACCAGCCATCTTCAACCCCTCTTCCACATCATTTTCAGCAACGCTAAGGAACTTCCCAGTAGTTGCTTGCTTCCCATTTTGATGTGTGGTCAATATATTGGGAAGACTCGTGTAATGATTTCCTTTTCTAATGCCGAAATAAGCCACATGGATCTTGTTTCCACTAAATGGTTTCTCCTCTGATACGGCTTCAAGCATTGTGAGATTAGCTGCCATGAACTCAATCTTAGAGCATAAAGAGAATTCATAGAGTAATTAGGTCGATGTGGCATATTCTGTGTAGCTTTGCGATATGAGGAGGATTATTTTAAGGGTTCATCCTCGATTTTAATGTGTCAATCTCTAATATGAATTACGATTCTAGTACAAAACCTGTGATAAACAATTTAGAATTTTTGATGTAGGTTCCGACTTCCATTGAAAAACTATTAATGCAATCTCATTAACGATTGCTTCGAATAGGTGAAAAAGTAAGACAAAAATAAGGGGGAATCCTATTAATACGATCAATGGAGGGAAGAAGACGACGGTTGGAGAGGGAAATAGATGAAGGAGGGGGTTTGGAGAGAAAGGGATGCAAAGGATAAATATTAAGGGCAAATGACGTCTTTTTACATGAGTTATTGAGGATAATTACAACTATGTGATGATCATTTATAGGTCCTCTTTGGATATAGATATTACCCAAAAAATCTACCATCCTTGTTACCAATACAATCTCCTTTATTAGCATTACACAAAACCAAACTTGTCATTTATACTAATACAATAAGGATTAGCATTCTATATACGCAATGGAATTAAACCAAATAGGCTCAAAGTAACACGGCAATCTGGGCACAAAAAAAAAAAAAAGAAGCTAGAGATGGATGAAAGTAATTTTTTTTTTGGACACTATTTTTATGCAATATTTTATTCGACAGAAATTCTCCCATAGCTTCTTTATGATATTCCGGTGTTGCCCTTTCAACTTGTAAGCCCTTCTCGTTTCTTTCTCTTCGGTGTTCAGCCGCTCTTCTTCCGCATCGGTGCCTGTTGCCTCTCCCCCAGTCGTCGTCGACGCCACCCGCCCCTGCAGATACCGGCGCCGCCGCCTCTCTTCCTCTACCCATCTTCATTGTCGTCAGGTGAATATCTCTCCTAGATCATATTGATTCTTATGTTCTTTATCCTTGTTCTTGCTCTCACATGTCTCAACCATCTGGTTTCATATTCCTGGTTTTATATCCTTTTCTTCGTTGATTCAGATTTCCCGTTTCTTCTTTGTTTCTAGTTTCTCTCACTATTAGTCGAACTTAAAATTTTCTAACTTGCAATATATACAGGATAAACCAAGAAGCGTCGAAGTTATTATATAAAGGTACATTAGAAATTGAAGTCTGACTAAACAAAACCAAAAAGCTAAAGTTTATAAATGCAATACATAAGTTGGGAATATCGATATGCACTTTAAAGAAGATTAATTTGAAAATTGAAATAGCTTTTTGGTTAAGACATCCTTGATTGAGTTCGATATAACAGTATTCGTTCCATAATGAGCCAACCCCCGACATCTGCGCCATGAGGAATGCAATACAGTATATATAATGAATGGTGATTCTGCCTATGTGGCTATACAGCCTTTGGTAAAAATGACTTCCCTGTTCCTGGGGGACCATCTAAATCGATTGTTTTTGCGTTGGAATCTAGTGGCTTTCTATTTGGTCTACTTTGTTCCTTGTCTAATTTGATATTTATGCTCAATCATTTTTGAGAATGTACTGTGAAGCTGTATGGTACGTTTGAAGGTTCAAATCAAGGATACTGTTGTATTATTAGTACTATTCAGGTTCCAGTCTAATTGCTTGAGTTGCTGCATGTTTGACTTTTACAATCAACTAATCTTGAACAATTGCTTTTTCTTTGTGTTTACTATTTAGTAAGGGTGGAAACAGGCCATGCCAAGCTTTCCTCTTAATAGTCTTGGCCTGTCTTGTAACAAATCAGCTTGAGCCTGGCCTGTGGCCTGTTAAAGGCTTATTTTTCAGACTAAGCTTGACTTGTACAAAAGCCTGGCCTGGCCTGAAGACTGTTTAAAAGCCTGTATTTTTCAAAAAACCATAAACAAGCTAGTAGGCCTAGGCCTTCAAAGAGGAAAGCCAGGCCTGATTTGGCCTGTTTCCACCCCCTACCCGTGGCCTTCCTAGTAACAATTTTTTTTCTCCTTGTTATTGTTCAGGGCTTCTCCTTTTCTACTATTTTTGAAGCAAAAGATGGGTATATTTGAACCCTACAGAGCAATTGGATACATAACAAGCATTGTCCCTGTGTCCGTTCAAAGACTTGGTACTGAAACTTTTGTCACAGTCAGCGTTGGGAAGGCCTTTCAAATTTACAACGTAATTTCATTATTGCTCAAAGCCTTTTAAATATGTTGATGCTGATCTTTATTTTGTAATGTCTAGAGTGCTTATAATTTTTTGAATAGGTTGATGTTAATTTGGTCTGGTTGTATTGATCATATCATTCATTTGTGCTATAACTTTCAATCAACTTGACTGTCAATGTGGCACTTTCTCTATGCAGTGTGCAAAGCTCAATTTGGTTCAAGTTGGTGAGGCTTATGTTTCCTTATTAATTTTTCATTCACACATATTTTATGGATCAATCCTTTTTTATTGGAATGTTCTATTTTTATGAAAGGTCCTCAGCTGCCAAAGAAGATTAGAGCTCTTGCTTCCTACAGAGAATACACTTTTGCTGCATATGGAAATGACATTGCAGTTTTCAAGCGAGCGCACCAGGTTTTCTCCATGATATGCTGCAAACACTGCCCTTCCCTAACACAGAAATAAATAGAAGAAAAATATGCTAGGTCCTTAATGTTGTTTGTTCAAAGTTACCACTGACTGGTTTACCGTTTTAAAATATATGTTATATTTTTTATTTTTAATTTTCTTCTTCTTCATGCTAGGTTGCTCAATTTTATTATGCAAAAATTTCTTGAATTTTCATAAGCTTGAGTTTGAAAATTTGGAATAAAATATCACCAATCAAATTGATAGCAACTGGCCAAAAGAAATGCTCGAAGGAAATGGATTTAGTGTTTTTTTGGATTGAAGTTAATGCCATGCCTCTTTCAGGTAGCAACTTGGAGGAAACATAATGCTAAAGTCAATTTCTTACTTTTGTTTGGGGAGCATATCATTAGTGTTGATGCCCATGGTGATATGTACATATGGGCCTTTAAGGGGATTGATCAGAACCTTGCTCCATTTGGGCCCATGAAGTTAGATGATAAGTTTACCGTTAGTTGTATAATGCATCCAGATACTTACCTTAACAAGGTGAATATCTTTTTCCTTATGAAGAATTTTTTTTAATTAGAACTTGTTCAATTTAGATATGCAATCATCTTGTGTAATACGGAAGCATTTCAACAGGTTCTTATTGGGAGTGAACAAGGTGCGATGCAACTTTGGAACATCAGCACAAGGAAAAAAATATATGAGTTTAAGGGATGGAATTCACCTATCATGTCTTGCATATCTTCTCCTGCCCTCGATGTTGTTGCTGTTGGTTGTGCAGATGGAAGGATTCATGTTCACAACCTTCGATATGATGAAGAGTTATTTACATTTACCCACTCTACGCGGGGTTCTGTGACTGCCTTATCTTTTAGCACTGGTAAGTGCTTGAAAATTTTCTTTTTGTTATTTTAATTTGTCAATGGTAAGCATTGCATATCACTATGGTTCTATCTTAAAAGAACTGTACAATGTGGACAGGATTTTCCCCCCTTGTTTTGATAGTTATTTTTATCAACATGGAAATCTTGATTGATTCCTCTTCTTGTGAAAAGGATTTGTAAATGAACTACAGGCAAGACAAATTTTCATTTTCACATTTTATGGTGATTTGAATTGAAGTAAAATAGATGTAGAACTAATTTGTAAAAAGGATTAAATTACAGTGAAAATGCTATATTTGTTTATCTCCTATCTTCATTCTGGTTGGTTGTAACTAGATTTAGGTCCAATTGAGAGAACACTGTAATTTAGACCTTTAACGTTACACTTGTCTACTTGCTATTCTGTTTTTTTTAGACGGGCAACCTCTTCTTGCTTCGGGAGGTTCATCTGGAGTTGTAAACATATGGAATTTGGAAAAGAAGAGGCTCCAATCTGTCATAAAAGAGGCTCATGATGGATCAATAACTTCGTTACATTTTTTTCCTAAGGAGCCAGTGCTGATGAGTTCTTCAGAAGACAACTCTATTAAAGTGAGATTATTTTTATTATCAAGACATATGGCAATCATTTTTTGCTTCTTAAACAAGATGATTTTGTATGTTTACTAAATCTCTTAACAAATATTATGTGTGGATGGCTATTATTTGTTGGGTATAACTCTAGACATTTGTTTTATTTGCTTTGGAAATAAAACAATAGATGAAAGTAAGTTTAAGTATTTGCAACCTTATGCTAATCACTACAAATCTGTTTTACTTTGCTCAATGACTTGGTCGACTTCTTTGAACTGTATAATTTTGATGCCAATTATATAGCTGCAGCATCAACATTAGACTTTATGTTGGGTGGGTTATATGTAGTCTGTTGCAGTTAACTGGTTTTTATGCCGTCAAAGCATGTAACTTTGTGACCATAACATTTTTCTTGTGGATTTAAATTTTACTTGTTGAATTTAATGTTATTTCTAACAAGTTTTCTGTTCTAAATAAATAAAGTAGAATTATTTTATTAAAGAAAGACTTGCTTTTATGAAGGCATTTTTCTTAAGAGGAAGGAAAAAAGTATACAAGAGGATGTAGTATCCTCCTTATAAAAAGTGCTAGAATTCAAACTTCAACAAGGGGGGAAAGATTGAAACTGAATCATGTGGCAAAGTTGTTGAATATCTCTGCATACCAATGATTGATGGTGCTGCTCTCTTCTATTAGGGACTAAGATAAAAAGGGCATGCTGACCGTACTTGATTGATGAGTCAGCCCTCTGCACTATGGATTCCCCCCCCCCCCATAGAATTGAAAGTTTCTGAATTGTAATTCTCTGTATATTCACCTAGGATCTGATTACATAAGGGAAGTAGGAATCAACCCAATTAATGCACGTCTGATTCTATGCCTCCTAATCAGTACAAATTTGATTCTATTCCTCCTAAAAACATGGAACACTAATAATGACCAGATTTTCCTCTAATCTGACCATTGCTATTTATTGCAAAATATTCTTTGTAATAAAATTTAGGAAATTAGGTTAAGCATTTGGTTTTGGGCCTTTAGGCAGCAGGCCCACTTTCCCACACTTCCCTTAAAACTGGCAAATAGATGTTAATCATTCCTAGCTTGCTTCTGAAACCTTCAAATTTTTCTTGAGTTGAAGACTTTGTAATCACGTCTGCAATCTGATTTCTTGGGGGAATGTAAGCTAGATCAATTACCTTACTGTCTATCCTTTCTTTAATGAAGTGGCAATCAATTTCCACATGTTTTGTGCAATCATGATGCACTGGATTATTAGCAATCTTGATTGCTGACACATTATTGCACCAAACTCTCATTGGAGCGTTAATCTCAATTTCAAGCTCCTTTAAGAGTCTCACAAGCCTTTCCCCCCCACAAATACGTAGGGCCAAGGCCCTATATTCTGATTTGGCTGAGCTCCTTGATGCCACTGGTTGTTTCTTACTCCTCCAAGTGACTAAAATTTCCCCACACATAAGAGCAATAACCAGTAGTAGATCATCTATCTCTTTTTGATCTTGCCCAGTCAGTATCAATGAATAGTTCAATTTCTTTAGATGTACCCTTTGCAAAGAACAACCTTTGTCCCGGGATCTTCTTCGGGTACCTCAGTATTCTGTAGACTGATCATGTGTTCCTTTTGAGGAATATTTGAGAATTGGCTCACCATGCTCACTGGATACCATATGTCAAGCTTTGTGTGGGATAGGCAAATAAGTTTCTGCACTAGCCTTTGATATTGCTCCTTGTTTACTACCTTACCATATGGCTTGATTGTTCGCTTTTGGTTCAGCTCCATTGGAGTGTTAGCAGGTTGACAGCCCTATTTCTTTTAGCAGGTCAAGTATATACTTATGTTGTGATGCACTTATCCCTTTATGAGTTCCCTCCACCTCCATGCGTAGAAAATACCTTAATGGGCCAAGATCTTTGATCTCACATTCTGTTGCTAAGTCTCCTTTTAGCTTTGTGATTTCTTTTTCATCCTTTCCTATCAAAAGTATATCATCAACATGAGCAATAAGCATAGTTATTTTTTCATCATGGTGTTTAACAAATAGGGTATCATCGGCTTGGCATTGTTTATAGCCTAACCCTTTGATGGCTCGAGAGGAACCTCTCAAACCAAGCCCTTGGAGACTGTTTCAGCCCATACAAAGATTTGTGTAGCCCAAACACTTTCCCAAAATTATTTGAGTTTCTTTTCCCAAAGGAATCTGTTATGAAAGTAAAGAAATATGAGAGAGAAAGAGGAAAGAGAAAGGAAAAGAGCAATAGAAACAGAGAAGGGTAGAGGATCAAGAGAAACTGAATAATTTCTAATCACATTGCAAAAACTAAGTACAAAGAATAGCAAATACTTATTAATAAGCAAAAGCCCTAATAGATATAAATCTAAGTAAATATCCTAATATTATCTAAATGTTATCTAGATATCCTAATCTATCCAAATCCTACTAATATAATTAAATGCTATCTAAATCCTAATAATATTTATTTAAACCCTATTTATATCATATTTAAGTATTTTCTTATTTATAATTGTAATTACATAACAGAATCTTGATGTAAACTTCTTCTAAGTCCCCATTAAGAAAAGTATTTTTAACATCAAGTTGGTGTAAACACCAATCTAAATTTGCAACAAGAGATAAGAAAACATTTATAGTATTAAGTTGAGCTACAAGGGCAAAAGTCTCTTGATAATCTATCGCATAAGTTTGAATAAACCCTCTAGCAACCAAACATGCCTTATAAACATCCATCAGGATTATATTTAACTGTGAATACCCATTTATTACTCACCATTGATTTACCTTTAGGAAGATTTGTAATTTTCCTGGTTCCATTCTTTTGTAAAGCTCTCAATTCTTCTCCAATGGCTTGTTTCCGATGTAGGTCTATAACAGCCTCATTGAAAGTTTTAGGACTTTTCACACTTTCTACATTTGCTGCAAAAGTTTTTAGG